AAGTTATTAAATTTCTTCATTAACTTCCCGACCCTGAGGGAATAAATTGTGATTGCCCTGAAAATTGAATATGAAACTTTAATGTTGAAAAAAAATGGCTTTCCACCCCCCAAACGGTATAGGTATGTGTCACACCCCTGGAGCATGCCACCCCTTGGGGTAAAAATAAAAACAATGACGTTAGATAATTTTGAATCGACAGGAGCACTTGAAAATGCAGTCATAAGTCGGGAGGGGGAGCTCCATTGGAAAATGGGATAGATAAGGGTTGTAGAGGGTAAGGGGATGAAAAGGGGAGAACGTGTGTAACGAGTGAGAGGTGGTGTCAGTGTATGCTCAACGGAAATTAAATATGCCTCGGTCGATAAGTCAAAGCGGAGCTTTTCGTGTACGTATCAAAACCCGACGAGATGAGCTATTGTCAGAGTATTTTCGTAGAGAGACGGAATCTCAGAGTCGCCATTGAAAAGAACGATATGATTGTTACAGCAATAGGAAAGCTCCAGGGAGAAGTGAGATACAATGTAATTTTTGTCCAGTCATTTACCCAGTACTTTTTCATCCTTTCAATTTCGAGTGGAACGAATCATTGAAAGGTAAACGACGTACACTGCACTCTACGAGAACAACTCTTTAGTCACGTTGACACCATCAACTCGAGTTCATTAATGTCATCCACGAGAATAGACCATTGAGAGTAGTTGACTCAGTGCGTACGCACAATATTGACAAATCCATTTTTCAGTAACATCTCTCTTCCCCCGAAGGAGCAAGTACTTGAAGATCAAACAAGCTACCCTTTTCATTGTATTCATGAAGATGTGACTTTTGTGTAAAATATTTCCACCGAAATGCCTCATAATGCGGTATAGAACTATCAGTATCATCTTTCCATTGAGTTTCATCTTTTCTCCCTGAATGCTACCGATTCTTCTGACGCATCACAATCTTCCTCAGTGAATCTAGCAAGAGGTGGTGCATACGCCGTGTGTGACACGCCTCAATGACTTCCAACCCAACGCCACACCATTGATTTGTGAATTTGACATAATGTCCTCTCACTATACGAGTTTATTTAACGATTTATCACCCTCTCAGTGGTCTATTAGGTGTCGTTCCCACACCAACGACCCCTCGACATACCTGAACCTATGAACGAACCTATGAACCTATGAACCAATCTATGAACACTGGAATGCCGATTGTACAATCGACAAGTGAACGATGACAAACGAGCTGAGACCTATCCCCAGTCCAGACTATTTCAACACGGTGTAAATAAATAATTGGGCTGATGGAGGTGCGTTCTGAAGAAAAGGGCGAGGAAGGTACCTGAGCCAGGTGCAAAGTGAGTGGCTCGTTGTTTTGGTCCTCGAACGTAGGACACACGGGGCATTATAAGAGTCGAACAGAGTTCTCGTATCGGAATACAAGTTTCTTGGAACACAATCGCATATAATACATATGCAGTAGGCCAAGAGAAAAAGGTAAAGAGAGAACGCGTGGAGAGGAGAGCAGTGAGTTGGAGGAGGTGGAGAGTGGTTTTCTAACGAATAAGTACGTTGTGTTGAGAGTTTATAGTGTAGTTGGTGTGTGCATGTATACACAAACAGCCAGAATGGACATCGGGAAGGTAGACTTGGCCGGATTGTGCAACATGGCCGCCCTCACCGAGCCACGCTCGATAATTGAAGCTCCCTCCTCCTCATCGTTGCTTGACGCTTGGGCGTACTCAGTTTTTTTTTTTTCCATTTTTTTTTTCACCATTTCCCACATCACCAAGGACTGCTCAACCAAAAATATCACCAAATAGAATACCACCGATAAATAAACCGCAGTGAGAATTTATTGATTCATTTTAACTGCTACCATTCAGGGAAAATCTATTGCTCCGAGTTCAACCCTGATCATATCGGTAATGACACTTCGATTGAAGCCAATGATATCACGTCAAATCCCCCAGATGAAGGTTCCCTTCATATTCACGCGCACTCGTACACGCATCTCACTGTCGTTATCTGTCGACTTTATCGTTAAGATACAATACTCGTTCAACAGCTCGGGAAATTCCCCTCCCATCGCAATAATCCTCCATTCACCCCCGACACTGGAATTTCATGATTCTTTATTGACACACATATACATGATAAAAGCATCATGATGAGCCACCAGGATATTTCTATTTATCCAAGACAGTATCCAGCATTCGGGGTGAATTCGAGGGGATGGTAAATATGAGAAATCCCATATCGATTTCCCAGACTCGGTATTATAATATTCGCGCTTAATTTCCATAGCCCGAGAACGAGAGTTGAGCCAGGCAATTTTCATTACACCGGAGAGACAAAGAAAATATTGGAGGGATGGAGGTAAACGAGAAGAATATGTATCAGTGACGAAACACGTCGATGTATATATTCTACCAGCAAATAAGTAAGCTCCAGGGGTAGGTGGGGATTCGTTGACGCGGTTGGTTAATAGGACCACCCGCTAGCAGCACGTTACCTAATGCCACCACGATTAAACGCAGACAGGATATTAAAGCTCGCTTCCACACTCACCAACGTAGACTATAACATATTTTGACAATAGATCGCAGTGCGCCCCTCGCACGGCTGGAGGACGGCCCCATAAACCTCAACAGCCGTAAACCTCTTACTAAGCTTATCCGGGTAATGCCCGCTTCCAAGTCCCCACCCTCCTTACCCCCTTTCCCATATTTTTATCCACTAAATTAAATAAACTAATACTAAATACAACGTGCAAGAGTAACCCTATCCCCGGAGTCATTAATTCCAGTGCAATGTCATGGAGAAAATTTTTCCCCATCGCAATATACGTTAAAAATATCACGATCGTTAATAAAGGCAGACTAATGGAACAAGGTAGTCCCTGGCAAGAGTCAGTCAAGTTGGTGAAATTCGAAGCACCAAATCAAATGCTCCTGACCGAGCAACACTCACGTACACCCGAGAGTTACGATCCCCATGGGGAAATATCAATAATGTAAAGCGGTAAAGCTCTCAACGCGAATTACCCATTGGCCTGCGAGAGCTAATGACATTTTCAAAAATACCCTCAACTGTGAATGAGCTTCAGGTAAATGAGTGGTAGGGTTGAATTTTTTCGCTGAGAAAAGACGCGGTTGAAAAAAAAAAAAGGGGGGGGGGGCCGAAGAAAAATATCAAAGGCCAATTCCCAGTATCATTGAGCGAGTTTAACCGCGCTGTATAATACCATTTACAACAAGCTGCGGTGAGGAGGTTTTAAATGCAACGACTCACCTTCCACGCCAGCTCCACCTCTCTCCCCCTTTATTCTCCTCATTGGTTTTTATTCCTTTTTATCCAAGGTCCGTGCGCGCCGTCCACTGGCTCGGTTTTCTTTGGAGAGCGCGGGTCCGTGGCCTTCCGACCGCGGGGATATCATCTGGAAGGTGAGACGACGCACCGTAGAAGCGCACCCGGTACGCTCGACTAATTGGCCGATAAATCAACCTCCAGCTTACTTCTCTCCGCTTCTGCCGTCTACTCCTCATAGCAGGACCACGCTGCATCTGTACATAACCCATCTCCCCTATATACTCCACATCCTTCACATAACCATCCACCATTCACCCTCCCCCTCCTCCCACCACCCACCTCATCACCCAATATTCAACTCCAACAATTTTCACACAATCTCAACCTCAACTCAACCATTGAACATAAATTCCCATTCTAAAATTACTCACTTGCCAACATAATTAGACCAACAAAAACCCATTATTCATTGTTATCAATTATTCCCCAAAGAGGCATTCAGTGATTTTCCTGATGTTCTAAAGAATTCCTGGACTGTGCAAACAGCGAGAAAGAAACAGTTTACACAGCTCCGAGGAAAAATCATAATCATGGAGATTCTCTTAATAAAGTAATAAAGTGGGAAGAGATGAGAGTGTCTGGAGTATTTGAGGTACACAAAGTTACGTACATGCATAATAACCGGCGACCATCCCCGTGCGCTTTCTCACCCAGAACTAATCGCACAGAGGGAACTTGTTGGAATTAATTGGCCAGTCCAATTAACACAGCGATCCTTGAAATGCACGATGCCCGATCTCAGCAGCTCCAATGAAAATCACGAGTAACAAGAGATGCGTAGGTTGTAGTGATCGTGGCGTAGGTGTTATTAACCAAAAGCACCAGTTGATATAGCCTCGAGAGGTCCATTGGTCTCTTCATTCCGTGAATTTGCAGAATGCATCGAAGAAACGGAAGCGTTAATACCCCCCTGGTTTGGGGATATGAGCCAAACCGAGATTGTCGGCGGACGTCTCAATTTTCTCCGCGTCTTAATGACCGATCGTTAAAAGCCGGCTGGCGAACCGGCTCCAACATCCACAAACGATCCTCTTTCGCCTCTTTCGCCTCTTTTGCCTCTCTTGCCTCTTTTCCCTCCATCAAACTCCACACCTCTATATTTCTCACTCGTACAACAGAGACACCCCCCAAACAACTCACCACGAGGTTAACCGACATAATCAGTTAATACTTCTCATTCCTCCCCAGTCTAATGAACTTTTTAATGTCATGTTGCGACAAATCTTGACAACATGACGGTTTATCACGGTGACGAGAGTCATTGGCTGACTCGCCAATTGATTTATTCTCTCGAGACAGCCGCCAATTCATTAATCTCCGATATTCACTTCAAATGATTCAGTAGAATGACTGATTTATATCCTCATTTACTTTCAAAGGTCAGAGAAAGAGCTTAGTCCGTTAAAAAATCAAGAATTATACCGAAACAGTCGATTTGTACGGGACAAACAAAAACACCACCGACGCGAGGTACTAACCAACTCCATCTTGCGCTCACTCCCGCCAACCTGCGCCGTTGCACCGTTGCGCCGATACGGATGCCGCCAAATTCATTTTATCAGACCAAGATAAATTCAATGCTTCCTACATTTTGCCCGGATACATTCGAATTACATTATTTAATCAATTACGGAATATTCTACACTGAATTCAATTCATTGGAAAGTTATTGAAAATTTTACAATATTGTTATTGATTGTCAAGTGCCCGCGCATTCATCAGTGCCTCTGGGAGTATTCTGTGCATTTCCGGTACTAAATTTCGCAATTATACCCGGTTCACTGCATTTACGTTCGGTTTTTATTCTGTGTGATTTCTTCGGTTCCTGGGAATTCTTCAGGAGTTTCGACGACTCGTGTTTACAAGGTCTGTGAATATTTATCATTTTGGATCATTGGGGAATGGTGGAAGTGACAGAAGAGACTTACAGTTGTACGAAATCTCCACGTTCATTGCTCCTCTTTTTACTACTGCAAACACTTAATTTAGCAATTGTTCGTGTGTCCACGTCAATCAGTTTGGGTTTTTGGGAATGGCTCTTCAATTTTTCAATGTTCAACGTTAGCTGTTGAATGTGGACCTTGAGGGTTGCGTTTTCGTAGACTAGTCTGCTGTTTCTCTGGACTACCTGTTGATTTAAATTATTGAAGATCGTCTGTGGGTTGTGAAAAAAATTTGAGAGGGCAACCTGTAGGAATTTTGCTTTGCTGATGGGCAATGGGTCCTGAAATTTTTCAGCGACAATGATATTGAGCTCCTCCCTGGCCTCGTCCAGCTTCTCCATCATCTCTGCAATCACGTGGAGATGATCCCTCAGTAGGCAATCCAATTTGACCCTCATCACGTCCCTCGCGTCCTTCATCCTCAGGAACTTGATGCACAAATTATAAGTCGTTTGATTTTTCACCAAGAGTTCCTCCCTGATCTCTTTATTTTCCTCCTGCAATGCCTCTCGCATCCTCTCCAACTCCCTGTACTGCTGGAGATGGAGTTTAGATGTACTCCCAGCGCACTTGATCCTGTGCCTCTCCATCTCCTGGGAGAAATGCTCTTTCTCTTTTTCGTAGAAGAACCTCTCATCGTCCAGCTGTTCTAAAATAAAATCATATTTCTATTCTTCTATGAAATACTTCAGCAATTCGTCTCCCTGTCCATACGTTTTAAATTACGATTACATCTCTGTTGCTTTTTAATTTCCAAGACTATCCTCTCGTTGTCGCTCCGCAGGTTCTCCAGGTGGACATCTTTCACTTGATTTTCATTTTCCACTCGTGTAATTTTTTCAGTTAATTCCCTCACCTTGGAATAATTTCGAGGTGAATAATTGAAGGGGATGGGGGAATTTAATTTACCTGCTGACGCAGACGAATGACTTCGTCTGGGGTTATTTCGTTCAATTGGGCTTTCGAAATTTCTACATTTGACGAGATATTCTGCATATCACGTTGACTAGGGCCATTCGAATCACCCCCAGGTGTTCCCAAGGATTTTGATGACTTTGTAAATCTCCTGCCAAATATTTCAATCAGTCAAACGAAATAGAGTAATATTTATAAATATTTCTGGTAAATCAGGCATCTTTCGACTGTTTAGAATTATTCACATTAACCTGAGAAATTTAGTTGTCACTTTCTGGCCAGATTTGGTGATTCTCTTCCTCATTGAAACATATCCTGGTCAGTTGACCACATCCTCTTGGGTACTTCATAACAATATCAATACAAATTCTCAAAAATATAAATGAATGGGAAAATATAAATAATATCAAATAAATGGTGTGACGAGAATGATGTGAGGGTTATCTCTCCGAGATATAAAAGACGAACGATCTTCTAACAATGATTGTTCAAAAATTTATGTGAAATGTTTTATTGTATCACTTATATGTACAAAATAGGTGTACAGAGTGTGCAGTCGATCGCACAGAAATACCTGTGCTCATAAACTGAATTAAGATTCCTTGGCGCCCAGGCATTCGGATTTCTTTACACATAAAATCACATAACACTCGTGATCTCTCGATAAATGTACAAACCACTCGTTGGAAATGGAATGACTTGAAATATCATGTTCTCATGACAATTGACGTCGTATCGTAAATATCTGAATGAAAAGAAAATCATAAAAAGTACATGCCAATGATTTTATTATCTCCTTGCATTTTTCCACTCGCGTTGGGACACTATTTACTTGGAAGAGTTGACATCATGAATGAAGACTCGATAATTGAGCATTACTGTTTAATAGTTCTTTGTCATTACGAGGATTTTATTATCATAGAAGCTACTCGCACATTTTTTTGGAAAAAAAAAGTCTCGAGACTGGGAATAGAAAGAAAATAAAACGATCTTTAAATGATATAGAATGTAATGACAGTGTCAAGTATTTAATGACTAAATTCTTTTTACCAATTTGTCAACTATAGTAGTAAATGTCGGACATTTGTCGTGGCTCTATTCCTGTCTCTTTAAATATCTGAATAATCCGATGATAAGATTAGTAAATTCGTACAAATGCACGGATGATGGTCAATGGACTTACATTAAATCTTAGCCTAAAATATGGATTTTTATCTCTCACAGGCCACACTGAAAACCCTTCACTTTATTTCTTCTTGTTCTTGTTGGCCTGATTTTTGTTTTTGGCCGGGGCTGACAATTTGGCGTTCTTCTTTTTGGGCTCTTCGTCCTCGTCATCCTCAACCTCTGTGTCCTGTTATCATAAAATATTCAGTTAAATCCCTCACTCACCGATAAATCGAAAGTAAACCAATGATGTTTGCTGAGTGAATAAGTAATCTCACCTTTTTGGGTAAAAAAAATTGATTCTGTCGAATAAAACACCGCCAAGATGGAGAGAAAGGACTCTGATAAACTCAAGAGATGAAGAACAACACTTTTGTCAGATTTTTAAATAAAATAATTTATTCCATCGAAAAATTTTCAAGTAACATGTTTTCAATAGCAACATAAGAGCAAAATCGTGAATATGCGTCGCGCAATCAGCAACTAGTCCTTAATTACCAGCATTATAAATTTATTAATATTTTATGATGATAAGATGTACGTTAAACGATTAAGAGTGACCCTCAGTCATGAAAACTTAATTCTAGAAAAGAAATAATTATGAATAATCTCGCTGGTATCAGACTAAACGCATTACTTGTCTATTGCTTCATCCATCTTGGCGCGTTTGGTGCCATTTTTTTTACCATCCGCGGAATGCTTTCGTTTCTTTTGTGCAGCCTGAAATATTTATTTCTATTTTATATACAATACCTGAATTTGCCAATTCATATTTCTCTCTGATTTTCATTTCTCTAATTCTAATATTAATCATCCTCCCATCAAATCTTTCCACAACTCTCACTCTCGTGCATTGAATGAAAATTAATATTGAAAAATGAGCTTACCTTCTCGTCGTCCTCATCATCAATGTTCTCCTCCTCCATCTCATCTTCTAGATCGTCAAACTCTTCCATGTGAGTTCCTAATACCCAAAAAAAAATATTATTTCACCACTCGTTACATAAAAATACGATGCAGAGGATGGAAATTAGAACAAAAATAGTATAAACTCACCCAAAAGATTGTGTCCAACTATGTGAATTGGTCCACTTCCCTTGACAAGTGTGAAAGTCACTGGTGGATCAGGAAAGCTGAGATCGAGAATAATCTGTTCTGTCTTTCCCCGCTCCAAAAGTGCAATTGGAGTCTTGATGAGTCCCTTCAGGCCCATGGCCTCCACCTGCAGGACATTGAGCTCTCCAGGCTTTGCCTCAGGTCCCAAAAGAGCCTGAAAAACCACCCAAAATCCATAAACAACTCCCCCTCAAACCTCCAAATCCCAAAATAAAAAAAAATCCCAAGAATCGCCCAACGAAATATTTCAACTGAGCCGCAGTAATTAATACTTGGCGCGCAAACTTGTCTCAAACAATGGCGCCTAGCTTGGATTAGCCTAACCGTCACGACGACCCTATATATGTAATTCCCCAAACTTGCCAGAGTCACCCACATTTAATGGTCCATCCACGGGGGGGCTGTGATAAAATATTGCATCCCACAAAAAAAAAAATAGGGAACACTGCAAAAGTAGAGGACAATGCACGCAAAGATAACTCCATTGGAGGCGTCAGCCCTGAAAATCCCCAAGTACCCATATAAAATAAAACTTGAGGGTAGGAAACACGACAACACTTACCATTTTGATGATGAGTTTTTGATCGACGCCAAAATGTTGGTTGCCGCCTTCAGCGTCGTCATTTTTGTGTTCTGGATCCCAGACCTCGCTGGACTTCTCTCCCACGAGGGTAATTCCTAAAAAAAAATGAATAAACAATCTGAATGAGTCATGAGATTTATGAGATAAACGAGAATCTGATCCCTCCAGGATTTCACCGGGAATAAAAATAATTATCGAGATTATTCTGGATGGGGCTGAGTCTGATCGAAGCACAATGGCCGAAAATCTGCCGGCGTCCCGTAGCCAATGCGTTCCCCAACTCTCACCGCACATTCCACCGAAAGTAGAAGCACTCATAAATAAATAATCCCTCGATAATAACAACACCAAGCCGGTCAGCAATATTTACCAAAAAGATATTCCTCTGCCATGACGATTGAACTGATATAAACGGATGCTCGTTACTCAACAAATTGCAAGGCAAATCTAACGTGCCTGCGTCGAACAACTGTACGACTGACGTGCGGTGAGAAAAACTGAGACAAACGGGACAAGAGACGCCGTCAGCCCTCTGCTGGAATTTTTTCCCAGTGTCCAACACTCCAGGAGACGAGCCAATCATCAACCAGAGTTATCACCTCATGAAAATCGACCAGACGTTTTCACGGGGCGACGTCAAGACCTCGACCATAAGCAAATCATTCTCATGAGAACGTAACGTAATATATGTCAGAATCATCAGCGATCAGCAAACCTCAGCTCATATATCAGAGTTTGTACTCGTGTCGGCTTTCGTTAAGTTCTCCACGTACAACCGAGTTACTTTGATGATATTTTGAACATGTCTGGGGCTGTCTCCCCGCTCACGTAACCCAAATTCGTTGATTTAGTGCACCTAAGTGAATATTCAAGTGTAGACAGTGGATTAAACGATAAATATGTTAGGAGCACGTCAATTTTTATTCTTTATCGCGTTCTGTTTGGTTCATCTCGTCAGTACTGACGAGCACAATCATGTGGTGAGTATCTGCCAGAGTATTCCTGGAATTTTATGTCCTCTATGTGTTTCCTGGTGGAATTCAAACAACTGTCGTTATCACAATTTCAGTACGATGATAATGAAGAGGTCGTCCTGTGGATGAGCACAGTGGGACCCTATCACAACAGACAGGAGACCTATTCCTATTTTTCATTGCCATTCTGTGCTGGACCCAAAGCAATGATTGGTCACTATCATGAGACTCTATCAGAGGCTCTACAAGGCATCGAGCTCAAGTTCAGTGGACTGGAGATTGACTTCAGAGGTGAAGACCTGCACTACGAGCCTCATGGCTGGAATTAAATTATTAATTAGGGTTATTCGTCTTTCAGCTGACGTTGCGAAAACAGAATTCTGTGGACTCAAGGCACTGAGTGATCATCACCTCAAGGCATTTATTTATGCTGTAAAAAACCAGTATTGGTATCAAATGTACATAGACAATCTTCCAATTTGGGGTAAGTAAATAATTACCCAGAACACTTGTGTTCTTGACAGCTGGAATTTGTTCTATTTTCGAGAGTTGATTTCTTCAATTATGTTCGGTAGGAGTTGTAGGTGAGCCTGAAGATAACAATGGAGAAATATCCTACTACATCTGGACGCACAAGAAATTTGACATTGGTTACAATGGCAAGCAAATTGTCGATGTTAACCTGACAAGTGAGAACAAAGTCAAGCTGACTCCAAACGCTCACATATCGTTCAGCTACGAGGTCAACTGGAGAAAGACGAACGTCAAATTCGAGGACAGATTCGATAAATACCTGGACCCGAATTTCTTCCAGCATCGGATCCACTGGTTCAGCATCTTCAACAGTTTCATGATGGTGATATTTCTGGTTGGTCTCGTCTCGATGATCCTGATGCGAACCCTGCGAAAGGACTACGCCAGATACAGCAAGGATGAGGAGATGGATGACATAGAGAGGGACTTGGGGGATGAATATGGCTGGAAGCAGGTGCATGGGGATGTTTTCAGACCTGCCAGCCACCCTATTCTCTTCTCGGCTCTGATCGGCTGTGGGTACCAGGTGACCCTCGTCGTACTCAGTGTCATCGTGTTTGCAATCCTCGGGGAATTGTACACAGAGCGAGGTTCCATGCTGTCAACTGCCATCTTCATGTACGCAGCAACTTCACCGTTGAATGGATACGCTGGGGGTGGCCTTTACGCCAGGATGGGGGGCAGAGTGTGGATTAAACAGATGATCCTGAGTGCATTCATGCTGCCTATCATGGTCTGTGGCACGGCGTTCTTCATCAATTTTATCGCCATGTATTATCATGCAAGTCGAGCTATCCCCTTTGGATCGATGGTGGCAGTCACCTGCATCTGCATATTCGTCATTCTCCCCCTGACCCTGGTGGGCACAATCCTCGGGAGAAACCTCGCTGGCACACCAGACGCACCATGTCGCGTCAACGCCGTTCCTCGACCCATCCCTGAAAAAAAATGGTTCATGGAGCCTCTCGTTATTATTCTCCTCGGCGGAATTCTTCCATTCGGCTCAATATTCATCGAAATGTATTTTATATTCACGTCCTTCTGGGCGTATAAGATTTACTACGTCTACGGGTTTATGCTCCTCGTATTCGTAATCCTCATGATCGTAACAGTTTGCGTAACAATTGTTTGCACGTATTTTCTGCTCAATGCCGAAGACTACAGATGGTAAATATTTTTTTTATCAATGTGCATGAATCATATCCAAAACGGTGTGATAGATTATCAGTCTTTATACATGATTTTTATTTTCAATTTTAGGCAATGGACTAGTTTCTTGGCTGCCGCTTCCACAGCAGGATACGTTTATATTTATTCGTTCTACTATTTCTTTTTCAAAACAAAGTTAGTCAGATTTTAATGATGCATCTAGTCTTTTGAATCAATTTCACAAATAAAATGGAATATTTTTTTTTCTTTCAGAATGTACGGCCTCTTCCAAACCGCCTTCTACTTCGGTTACATGGCGCTCTTCAGCTTAGCACTAGGAATAATGTGCGGTACAGTAGGCTACATCGGTACGAATGCCTTCGTCCGCAAGATCTATTCGACAGTTAAAATCGATTAAATCCCTGCCCAATTGTCTCCAAAAAAAAAAATAAAATAATGTACGTGCGCATGAGAGTGAAAACCGAATGATAAAAATCAGTGCTCAGTGTCTGTACTGCGTCAATCAATTTTGTTCCATTGACACTGTGATATTGTAAAAGGCGTCCAGTTGAGTGATAGTGATTTCTCTTTGCCCCCTGTGAATCCCTGTCACCCTTCGCTGAGTTAGACTTTATCATAGCAGTTTTATTGTACAATATATAATATATTCATTTTTCTTTACGACATGGGACGCGAAGGCCCTCAAATTCTCAGGCTGATGAATAATTTTTTCCTGCAGTTCAAGCCGATGAATTACCTCGAGTGTAAAATATCAGACGGGGTGCAATAAAATAATCTGATGGAATAATTCTTCCTTTTCATTAATGAAAGAGGATTTTCCCGGCTGTTGTATTTTTTATTCATTCGCCTTATTTTACGCCATCACATAGATATCGATCTTTTTTAAACTTGGAACAAATAGATAGTTCAATGCACAACACAAAGAGAAATTGAGAGGAATCATGAGTTAATATAAATAAGTGACTTGAATTGTGCTCGACGTCTTTGCTGGTGCAAGCGGTGAAAAGAGAAAATGCCAGATACTTATTGTAGTTTTCCCAAGGGGCATAATACGCATTTCTTTATAATTTCATCCTAACAAAAATCTCGTAGGTGTAAACGGTCATATTACTGACCAGTGCCCGTATTAATTTATATTAATCTAGTATAAATCATGAAAAACATCAAAAGGACTTGTACAAAGTTTTTCCAATCAAAATAATTTCATTGCTATCCTCTGTTATCAAAATTAAAACATGTATTTATATCGAATACGATTATCATTTTTTCCCTTGTCTCGTGGAGAAATAAAAAATTTCTACTAATGAATAACTGTAATTGTTTATTTAATAGAACACCCGAAAACCAAAGAATAATCGATTAGAAATCGTGAGATATAACGGAATGGATGAACTAAATTTGGACGTACCACTTGTTCCGATTTTTTAAAATTAAATACAATTCTTTCTGATTTAATTGGATAAATTAATTCCATTCAATTAAGATGGGGGAGTGAATAAAATTCGTACGAATTTATGAAGAAAATGATGAAAAATATGAGACTTCTCATTCTTTTCATGATTTTTCTTCATCTTATAAATACTTCATCCTCCATTAGAGCCGAAACACTTCCCCTCGTTTTATCGGTGATAAGCGGTTTCAATTAGCTGAATGAGTAACACGGGTATCCATCCAACTCATTGAAAGGTTTACCATAAAATATGCAGGTGGATGAGAATGCGAAGCGTAAGGTCATGGATAGAAAATTGGATTAGCCCATTATAACTTGAGCGTATGTCGTCGAAGATACGCGAGGGGATAAAAGGAGGTGTTGAGAAAAGGGATACCGCAGTGATGAAAAGTTTTCCCTTGTTTTCCCTTCGACTCTGTGATACCATAAAATCCAAGGGGCAAGAGGGGTATGAACACGACTCTCTGGATGCTGGGAATCAGAAAGAGTGCGTGAGGGGTGGGATATGTGAGGGAAAACTAAAAGTACCAGGAGTTTGCGCGAACAGATCAATACAACCGGCAACCCCCTGCACGTGGATCTCTTATCCCACCCCTTCTACATCGTCCTGCCACCCCTCGTGTGGTCCAGCATCGGATGCTGGAGATACTGGCATTCAGTCGCACACCCGTACCCCTAGTGCAACAATCTCATCTCCATCGAGACAATATTATCCACAAATCCATTGTTATTTCACATTTTTTCATCTGATGGAAATTATTTTTCGCTGATTGTTGACGGCTATTTACCATGACGATCTGAGAAATTTTCCAACTCCGGGGTCACAAGGTAATAACTCCTCAATTATTTTCATTCTCTTTAATTTATGCAATGATGTAATTAATGCTCGCTCCTCGTTCAGATTAATTTTACAAATTTTTGTTTATGGAATAAATTAATTTTTCGATACAAGTCGAGGACAATCGAGGGAACTCGAATGTTGTTTGCACATCAGCTCATAGAATTAAACTCCCAGCAACTCAGGGACTCTCGAGTATCCGGCCTACATTTTTCTATTGAATACTCAATAGCGACACCCCGTGTTTGCTGTCGATTTATCTCATTGAATTCAAGGTACTTTTAATCCCCCCCGTGCACCATCGAGTTTCCCCGATGCCATTAATTCACACTAGAGTAAATCCACTATTCATCTAATTTTAAACATGTACCATTGATCATCCACAATTTTTAATAGCGAGACGAGAAATTATTCAGTAAAAAAAAAAACCACTTTGATAAACAATGAATATTCCTTTTTCTGAAATGAAACCTCCACTCGTACAATTGGCAGTGACTCCAGGGTCAAATAACTATGAATATTCACCCCTATCTTACATGACGCTTCCGGAGCCATTGCTCCAGGCTTTCGAGCAATTTGTCCCAACTCAGTGAAGGGATTCTGTTACCACAAGTCTAGTCTGTACGCAGACAACTTTTCATTAGCATTCTCCATTCAAATAATTCCCTCCCTCCCCCAAGTACAATTGAATCATCTATAATTGATGAATAATTCCACCCCCGATCCCCACAATTCTTGCAAAATCATTACATGCATCCTTGATGCACTATATTACCAAACCGATCAAGCATGAATACCAGGATGAACAGAGCCAATCGATTGGTTTCTGCATCCTCTTGCACGAGGTACTCCAACAACCCAAGGTAGCATTAATCCTATACATATATATAATCCTGGCGTCAGGCCATGCGGATTAATTATCTCCAGGGAAAATCCCACGGCCGTTTAAATGCCACAGCACAAGCCGCAATTCACCGAGTTTATAAAGTTGATGAAGTCACGAGTCAGGATTATAGTTTACGGGGTTTATCATCCCAGTCATGAATTATTTGGCAAACAATCCCAGATTTTAATTGTCAATTGTAATGATTTGAACATTTATTTGGTTGATGAGATTTCGCTGGATTTTTTTAAAAGGAATTTTCTACAAATTCTCTTCAAGTTTCCAACACGGAAATGGGACAATTGGGGCTGACCATGAATACACGAATAACGTTTAGCAATCCATTTCTGTCGGGGAGCATGTGGAACAGACAGATTCATTCTGACCCGTGAACTTTCCGGGACCGGTCGAGAGTAATCCACACTCGGAAATAGTTCACTTGCATTTATCGTGGGGAGGGAATGACAGAAATAGTGTCAGGTACAAAAGCCATTAGAGGATAGAGGTGGGAAACAAAAAAAAAATAATCAGTATGGAGACAGTTTGAACTTTCGCCAGAGGGTAGGAGGCCAGGTCGTGACACGACCCCAGTTGTCGACTCCAATGACAGCTCCACATCATTAATATAATAAAAAATTATTCCTCCCCTGGAGTTTCGAAAATATTTAATTTAGCAATCGCCAGCCTGAGAATATGTAAATATTGAAAGAGAACTTGATCCGTTGAATGTGAAAGCTCTATAAATTCCATTCAAAGAGAAACGCGTACAGAGTTAAAAAAAAAAAGTGGAAAAAAAAACTGTTCCATGAAGAGGAAGAATCAATAGTCCTTGGACTGCCTATTTACCCTTCACATTGTTATTTCCACATTTTTAATAGACCCAAGGAGGATTTATCGAGATGGGGCTTTACGCGGCGGGGGTTGCTGGGATAGGCGTCTTCTACGGGGCTGTCCTGAGTATTAGTGTCTGGGCCGCGGCCTCGAAGCGCAAAAAAATCCACGGAAAATCCCTGGACGACTTGATCCTCGCGAACCGCGGCCTGGGCTTACTCCTGGGAACCTTCACACTCGTTGGTGAGTATCCGATGTCATTTTTTTAAAATACCGAGTCATAAATCACTTTCCCTAGCGCAATATCCGAAGGAATTCCTCTCAAACTTTCCCATAATATCTCCAACATTTCGCGACCAGATGCTGCCATTTAAAAAAATCATGTTTCATTCGAAAGTTTGAAAAATAAACCCCTTCGCGCCTGTATCCCCCATTTTTTTTAAACCGTATCCGACGGTAGCCTCAGAAGATCATAACTTTTATTCCAAGCCTCCCCCCCAAAAAAAAAAAAGTTGATTGCGCAAAGCCGGGGCAACTTGGCGATAGTAAAAAAAATGGTAAAACAAATATTCTCCTTTGAAACACAAACTGAAATTGCCAGTACGAATAAAAGAATGAAAAAAACTTGAAGCCATAATAATAAGGAGTGAAAAGAGGAACGCAGGTCTCGGCCCCTAATTCGCATTAATTAGCCAGCTCCCAGGAGAGGAAGCTGAGAGTTTCTTAATTAAGAAAATAAAGCTGTTTCCGGTTGAATAATCGTGGAGGAAAAAAAATAATAAAAATTCAACGAGTTGGCAATAGCCGGGGTGCCCACTTGTAGCAACAATGAGGTGTACGAGTCTCAATGGACCGGTGCTTACGTATACGAGATTTCCCCGGGGGGATAAGACGTCTGGGCCACGAAATTTTCAATAAAAAAAAGGAGAAACGAAAAAAAAAATTGCAACACCGGTGAATCTGCTGTATTACCTATTATGCGAGACTGATAATACGAGACTTGTCGTCACCACCCCCAGAAGACGATGGAAGCAAATCGACCCGTGTAATCTCTCTTTTCCGTTCTCATCCCCCGGTGTCGAGGTCAGCCTCCGGGATAACCGCGGGCTTTTTAAAACTACCCATTACCTTAATGAACACTCGTGAATGCAAAGCCCCATGAAACACCAGTACAAAGTCTTCCACGAGTACACAGAGTCTCTCACTCTATTTATCATCCACGTCTGTCCACTACTCTGGAACTTCGTTCAGTCCGATATACATTTTCACGAGTGAGATATGCCCTGAAGACAAATATATTTCGTTATAAATCCTAAAATTCTCCATTTCGTTTAATCATGTATAAATAAATCCCTCGGGATAACAACGCCCAATGTCACAAGAACTCGTCATTATCTCCTAATCTTGACTCCACTCCTACCCCCTGGAATCATTAAAATCCCCACGGCTGAGGGAATTCAAGTAAAAGCTGAAATAATCGAGTTTTCCCTCCGGGGTAGCGACATGGGTTGGCGGTGTATTCGTCCACGGCACCGCGGAATCAATGTTCACCAGGGGATTGGTCTGGTGCCAGGTTCCAATCGGCTACAGTCTCAGTCTCCTCCTGGGTAAATTAAATAAAAATAAAATGAAACGCATGATAAAATAACAATGAACATTTTAAATAACACGATGGATTTTTTTCCCAGGTGGCCTGATCTTTGTTAAACCCATGAGAAAATCCGAGTACGTGACGATGCTGGATCCATTTCAACAGAGATATGGCGCCAAGCTCGGGGGGTTGCTCTTCCTCCCAGCTCTCATCGGTGATGTTTTATGGTCAGCGGCTGTACTCAAAGCACTCGCTAATACTTTGAGTGTTGTCGCAGGAATTGATGGGAAATTCAGTGTCGGGGCCTCTGCTCTGATGCTCATCGTGTGAGTTTCCTCTCCCTTCAACAAATAATTCAATGTACCCAGTGGAGATATTAATTGAATTGCAGACGCGGTTGAACATCATTTATTTTCATTATCTCTGTTTAATCGATTTAATTGTCATTAATCCTTTTAGATACACTATTTTTGGTGGTATGTATTCACCAGCCTCGGCAGATGCTCTCCAGTTGGCCTGCATAACGCTTGGTTTAGCAATTAGCACTCCGTACGCGATGTTGAATCCAGCGGTGTCGTTAGAGAGAAACTTGGGGCGAAAAGATTGGCTGGGTGAAGTGCAAACTGGAGATCTTGCCGAGTGGATAGACGGAATGTTCCTTCTAATGTTCGGTGGGATACCCTGGCAGGTAAAAAAAAAATTTACCTCTTGGTTTACTTCCTCCACGTCCACCTCCTTTACCTTCTCCACATCCTCCACCTCCTCCACCTCCTCCACCTCCTCCACCTCTTCCACCTCTTCCACCTCCTCCGCTTCCTCCACCTCTTCCACCTCCTCCACCTCCTCCACCTCCTCCACCTCCTCCACCTCCTCCACCTCCTCCATAAATTAACTGATCATGAATCACTGATTTTCCTTGTCAAAAAATTATACTGATAAAAATTTGAAATTCAAATTGCCAGAGTTTTTTCCAACGCATCGCCAATATAAAAAATATCTCCCTGGCTAAAACAGCATCGGTGAGCTCAATGATTTGCTGCCTCGTGGTTGCTTTACCCTCGGCAATGATTGGACTTGTCGCAAGAGGAACAGATTGGTCTCTCATTGATGGATTCAATCGGACAATATCATTTCCGAGTCTCGATGGGGGCTCCATTTTACCAATTGTCTTGAAACACCTGACACCCCAATGGGTAGCGTTTGTCGGTTTAGGTACAATATCAGTGACTATTCTCGCCTCAGCAAATTCCAGTGTTCTATCCAGCAGCAGCATGTTCACCAGGAATATTTACAGAATGGCAATTAGACCGAAGGTAAATAGTCTGCCTTATTTATGAACCCGAGGGTGTTGAAAGGGATATTTGTTTTAGGCTTCTGAGAGAGAGATTGGATGGATTCTGCGGATTACTTTGCTCATGATGACGGCCATTGCTGCGGGGGTCGCCCTCACAGCCCGAAGTATTTATTATCTCTCGTAAGAAAGATTTATTCCCATTAATCCATCAATTTACGTATTTACTGATGAAATAATGACAAATATTTTTATGATTTTCAGATTTTTGTCATCGGATTTAGTTTATGTCGTTCTATTTCCACAACTCCTGGCAGTTGTCCACTGGCCCTCGTACGTAGATGCCTACGGATGTCTCGCGGGTTATCTGACATCTCTGAGCCTTAGAATCGGAGGTGGAGAGACTGCCCTGGGGCTTCCTCCCCTCATCCGCTACCCTTACTTCGACCCCAAGACTCAGAGCCAAAAATTTCCATTCAGAACTGCATCCATGCTGTCCGCAATTATGGTATCTCTCCTGGTGAGTGCCATCACGAGGGGTCTCTTCGGGGGTGGGAAGGACACCTGCCCCAGGTGTTGTGACTTCCTGGGGATTTACACCAGTAGTAAATCCAAGGAGCAGGGAGTCGCCCAGAGCAGCTCCGGAGCTGCTCTCCTCCTCATCGACTCAGCGATGCACGTTAGTTCGATTTTTTAATGATCAGCTCTCCATTTGCTATTTAATATTAAAAATTAATTCGGGTTGTAACAGGAGAGTTCAGCGGGTAGAGACTCAACAGACAGTCAGGACTCGACAGATCGTCCGAGTTACGAGGACTCGCACTCAGAGGAGACAAATACCCATTACGGTAGCTTTGCTGATCGTCCAGATTTCACCCTGAGACGTGGAATGAGTGTCCACAATACCCCAGTATCACGAATAAATCGTCAATTTCCGAAGAACGTCACCCAGACACCAGGTCGTAATCGCGTTCAACACTCCCACCATCTCAACAACGTCGACGGCCAAATTCTAGGCGTCAGAAATTTAGCTGCAACACCACTGGGTCAAGTACTAATGTCCAACGAGGCACAAACCAATGCCATCAGACTCACAAATACGAATGCAGTGTGCGCAACACCCTCGCAAACTTATAATCATACTTACGGTAAATTGACCAACATTGAGAAAGCCAGGGAGATCGAACGAATCGCTGATAGAAGCTCGCTGGAACTCAATCTCAATCTCAATCTCAACGTGCAGGAAACACCTGGGGGCATTGTAAAGAAGAACGTTGTGGGTGTTAAACTCGTTGGCATGGATGGACCCACTGCTTTGAGGAGACCATCTCATGTAAATATCCTTTTCTCCCTTTAAAAAACCCTCGACTCGGTGGTTTTACAAAGAGAATTCTGCGAGGGAAAGAGAATAGACAATCCACATTTTCCCTTTCATTTCCCCCTCGCTGATGAGAATTTTTCCAATTTTTCCAATTTTTCCAACAGCTGACCCTTTCAATTCGATCAGAAAATTCATGAAAAAGTTAATTTTCACCGCAATTTAATTTTTATCTTCGAATTGGATTAAACTCTATTATTTGTCGCAGGGCACATTCTCGCCGACACCTTCAGTGGAGTTAGTCCACATCCTGGACCGTCGCCAGAGCGGTGGATCGTACGGTCCGACGTCGTTATCACCTGTGCCAGGACTGGAGGCCTGCAAGATCCATGGAACAGCTGTTGGTGGTTCTGGGAATGAGCACTGCAGGATAAAACGAGGAATCGTGAGACATCACAGCTTCAACGAGACAGGGGACAGAACCCTGACGACACTAGCTCGACAGCCCGCCTACCCCTCGATGCCCCTGAGGACAGACGAGTGCAAGATGACACTCAAGAAGGACAAGAAGTCCAATGGAACGATAGCCCGCCATTCCTCGGTTGCTGATGAGAAGAGCCCATGTGGCAGGGGATTAGTCCTCAGTCCCACCTACAGCATGTACGGTTCAGCTGTAACCACTGGTAATTACTTCGTCAGCGACGACGAGGCGATCAGCAGATTTTAATTACATCGAAGACAGGACACCGACGACCATTCGAAGGTAGGAAAAAATGAAATTCAATGGCCGGGATAGGTATTTCCCAATTTTATGTGCAATCTAACTCTCTTCCCGATACTTTGAGCGTTAAATTTCTTTTTTTCCCTAGAAATTAATTTAGTCTTTGTGTACAGATACTCCATGGAGAATAGAAAAAATAAATTAATACGTAGGATGAACGATAAATTTGTATTGTAAAGATAATCAAACGGATGGAGAACGGTTTTTCTAGTTGGAGGAGAAATTATGAAACACGCGTTGTGTCAAACGAGAACGTCCAAAAAAAAAAAGAAAGAATGAAGATAATAATCAATCGATATACAATATTTTTGCACTGAGGCAGTAACTGTACAAAATTGAATAGCGTTAATTTCGATGGCATTTACACAACACCTAGTCGAAATAAAAAATGAGTGAATAATGTATTCGTGGTAATCCGGTAGAAATATCACGTAATTTGTATTTATAGCTGTAATCCTCAAGCTCAATGTATGATAGCCAAATTATAGAGAGGGAGACCAATGTTAATTAACACAGACAAAACAGTTTCAGCCCATAATTGTACATTCTCCGCACTTCGTGTTCACTCCATTAACATTGAATATAAAAAAATAATTTGGAATTGCTATTTGATATTTCTGTGGCATCTTGCATAATTCATTGTTCATACGACCAACAGAATTCAAATAATTGAATGAATCCAAAAGACTTGATACCAAATTGAACAAAAATCTGATCAATAACATTGTGCAATACTACCTCCTCTCCTTTTATGTACTTTCGTATTCAAGAGTTGAATGGGAAAGACATCTGCGACCTGTGCCAGTATTACTCTAGAATTAAGACTGAGACAAATAAAAAATGATCTCAACGGTAATTTAAATAAATTCAATTCACTGAAACATTAGGATAAATTAGAGAACGTTACGAAATTAATTATTATGCAGTAGAACTGGATTAATCCGTGGAGATGAATTCGAAATTGAATTTCAAATGAAGTTGAATTAAATTTTGTTCTAATGGCTGTTCTCCGACAAAATGGCGCACGGTAACGAAAACCAATGGGAAAAATTGGAGATACGTACGAGGAATTAAGTGCAATAATGATAATAAATTTGATTGACTTTATTTAATTATTCATTTAAAAAAAGAACATATTTGATCACTTGAAGACATGGTTCGGAGACAGCGCTCTAGGGCATTATACAAAGATTAATCTACTCCATAAATCTTACAGTAGTTTAAGTGACCTTTTCCAAACACTCGTAAACACGTGAAATACTTTCGCACTGATCTGTCAATCTGCAACAGTGGGTACATGAAAAATAGGTACCTCATTAAATATTTCGTTCTCGCTTGTAATAATGAGCCCTAACACGGCCATTTTATTGTGAATAATGTGCCAAAACGTAGATGTGTATGAATAATAAGAAGAATCAAACATTAACATTAATTTGTAATATTGGAAGATGAATCGAAATGATAAATGGTTCATTAAACAGTGAGTGCTCACTTCAAACTCTAGATATAAATAAGTGATAAGTAATATAGACAATCCCAAGCGCTTTCAAGGAACATTGTGTTCGTATTCGTTTCTACTTTTCCACAATTTCTCGTGCCAATGAAGAGGACTGTTGATCATTTAAAATATGCATGTGACTACAACATTTCAACACCTAATATATTATTTTCTCCATCAGGTATCTTCTCACCGTACTATTGTTTATCTTTATCATAAGATTGTACGAATGCTCAAAGTATGTACTATGTCAGAAGAAGTAGCAGAGTTAATAAAATCGTATACCAAGTTATGAATCTCGTTGTCACAATTACCTCTCCTCTCCAATCCACGATTAGTCCACCTCTTACCTCTAATAAACCTTAAATTAAAGCTTGAAATCAATTTAAAAAACCGAAAAAAAAAGACTGAAATTTCCTCCTCTCGTCTAACAAAAATAAATTTGGGTAAATGAAAGAAAATAAACGTGTAATCGAGAAGTTGTTGAAATAATACATCAGGGCTCCAGAAAGAAGAGTGAATGTTCATCTTCTTTTTATCTACGAATTGCCAATTTGTCCGTTTCGATGGAGATCATAGTGGTTGCCAAGCTCGAATCCATTGGGAAATTTCTGCATGCAGATGGTGCAGAGGAAAGTATGATGGATCTCCTGATGTTCCTTGAGTGCCTGAGTGCTGTCAAAAATACTGGAGCACAGAGGACACACAGACCTCTCAGTGACATTAAAAAAATTGGCATGCATCGTCTGAGCGTGTTCCTCAAGTTCCTGATAGGTCGAGAACTGGTAATTGGCGCACAAACTGCACCTGTAAAGCTGTTGACCAATGGAGATGCCAGGAGTGGTAGCAGCTCCCACCTGACGATTCTGATGATTCTGATACTGGAAGTGTCCATATATGGAGTTGATATGTGCCGCTAAACGCTGTCTATAAGCGTAAATGAAATTCTGAATAGCTGAGCTCACCATAGGCTGCGAATGCGTTGCAAAGTGCTTCCGAAATAGCCCAGGGGAATTAGTCTCGAATCTCGAACACACTAGACAATTGTACTTGTTCGCCACTTGTCCCTGCACATGTCCCTGCTTATTGGATGGGAATTTCTCATTAAGCAAACTGTACACAAGAGCTTCAACATCAAGTGGCAAATTTTGGTGCTTACTTAAATGAGTGAGAAAATTAAAAAGAGTTTTATGATAGTTGTGTGGACAAATAGGACATACGTATGTATTCTGTGTGTTGTCAGGTTGTTCGACATTTCCATAGAACTGAGAATTGTGGGGCCTGCTGTAATGAGAACTCATGCCCATACCAGCATTCGATCCTGGAATCGGTGTAACTCGGTTCATGGGTTTTGCAACACCACCTGAGTGATCCTGTTTAGCTGTCAAGGGTGTTGCCTTCCTGGCCCCACTTCCCTGACCCCTCTGTGGTATATTCGGCAGAATTCTTCGCCCAGGTACATGGGGAGAACTCGCTGATCCACCACTCTCGTCGCTATTTATTCCATTAGCTGATGCACTCGGCTTTGTAGGGCTCTTGGCTTTCTTCAAGTGCGCCATTAAGTGCTCAGTCAACGTGTTACCTCCTTTATTATTCACTCGTGTCTCGTTACCATTTTTATTCTCGTCCTGCAATTCAGACAAGTTTTTCACACGGAGAAATCCCCGGGGTTTTGAGTGAACATTCTTCAGCAGAGTCATTTCTGCACTGTTCTCCGGGCACAAGTCCGGATTCACTGTTTTTTCTACTGATTCGGATGGTGTTTCTTCAGCTGTGCTATTTTTATCCCGCTCTTCCTGGGCTGATGTCTCCGAGAGAATCTCAATGTCACTGTCCACAGCCGGTGCTTGTGGAACTGATGAGGATTTCTCTGGGGAAATTGCCGTTTTATCACTTCTGGCAGTTGTCGATTTCTGGGGACTCTGCGTCACCTGAAGTATCTGCACGTCATCACTATTACTAGTTGTACTATTCTCTGGCATATCCTCAACGGCGAGAGTACTCTCTTGACTATCACGTGAAGAAATTTCGTTGTGATCTGTTGCTTCGTGGATTAAATTTTGATTCTGAATGAGGGAATTGATGGCTTCACTGGAGATTGTCTGTTCAGGTAGGACAGAGTTCTTTTCAGTGACAGAACCTCCAGTGGCGGTGGTATCCCTCATCGTCACGGCGAAGGTCGAGGAGTTCTGTCCCCTGGTGGTTTCCATGGTTTTTACGGGTATCAAATTAGCGACAAGAGAGGCAGAGAGAGTGGACTCTGAAAGTTTTGACTGAGTGAGAACCACCTGGACAGTGGGATCCTCCAGAGCCCTCACCTTCGGTGGTGACACTACCTTCTCCGAATTATTAACATTCGGAAGAGCGATATTAATGACAACCGGTCGATTCGCCTGTTGACTTGTCGCTCCTTCGTTGTTACCCTGAGACTGAACACACAGAACGAGTCCTGAAGCCTGGGGATTACCAGCTGGTGAGAAAATCAGAGATTGTTGTCCCAAAGGTTTCTTCGGAGCAATTGAAGAATATTGTCTGGTCACGAGAGCATTTATATCCTTCGTCGACGTTCCTGGTTGGTCTTTACTGCCTGGAGACACCTCAGTCATTGTCACCACAGGATTTTCCTCTACCCTCGTCGCCACGATCCTGTTGACAGCGTGATAATCGATATTGTGCTTAGCAAATTCACCAGAATTGTTGAAGGCAACGTTACAGAGTCTGCATATCTCCTTCGTCATGAAGGAGACCCTGCAGGTCGGATGCTGCTTTTGACACAGCACAACCACGTGCCTCATAAATGTTCTCAGGTCAAAGTATGAGTCCGTGCAGGCAGAACACCAGTATTTCTGCTGCACGTGGTGATCTAGCCAGTGAGAGCTGTGCGCCTCGGCGGTGGGGAACTCCGATCGACAGAGAGTGCAAGTATAGACTCTCTGCACTGATTTATTGAACTTCTCCAGGGCGATTGTACCGTCGAAGTGAATCGCCACATGCTCCTCCATGAGAGCTTTTCTCGTGGGGAATATTCCCTCGCAGATGTCACATATCCACTTTTTGATGTAGAACATGGAGGCGTCGTCTGTATATTTTTCCATGTGTATCGTCTTGGGACGAAGTAGAGGTAAGCGTGTTTGAGGTGAAGCAGGTGCTCGTGGAGAAGTTGCTTGTGGAGCAGGTCGAGGCTGGGCAGGTCGGAATAATGCTAGTTTGCCTCGAGAACGAGGTAATTGAGACGTTGCACCTAGCATCTGAGATTTCGTTAACACATTGATTTTTATCCGGTGCATAGCCTTCCTGGGAGATTCTCGAATTGGTGCATTAGCTGGAGAAGCTGAAGAGGTAGGTGGAGCTGGAGAAGGAGGTGTCAATGGTTTCTTGACAGGCTCCTTAGGAATTTCTTTTAGAGAGCTAGATTGCTTCTCCTCCCCTTTGCAATCCTTCATGTGATTCAAAAGATCGCTATCAGACGAAAATTGCTGCTTGCACGATCTGCAGACATATTCAGCCACGAAAAAATATTGCTCACCAGGCTGTTTTCCAATGGGATTTTTCCCTCGATTCGAGATACATAATTTGGGAAAGGAGTATCTACTCGCAACGAACATGGGATCCTTCTCGTGATTGAACCAGTGTGTACAAAAGACAGTGCCCACCCCAAAGAAAACAACTCTGCAGATATTGCAGACAAAAGTGACAGTGCCATGTCGATTTATACTAACATGCTTTTCCAAGTGTTTCCTCATGTCAGAGAGATTGCTCAGAACGACTCGGCAAGTGATGCAGAATAATCTAGGCGATCTACCCTTTCTCCTGTCTTTATTACACTCTGCATTAGTCCTGTAATGCATCTCGAAACACTCATTCCTCCTAAATAAAACCTGACAGATTTCGCAGAAGAGAACCATTTCAATTTGCACAGTGAGATCAGTCGGTTTCAAATCGTCAACGTGACAGGGACAAATGGCAACTGGAATTGCAATCTTACTCGCCTTACCCTTAGATTTTTCATTCATAATGGCAATACCTGCCTGGATTGAATCAGCCCTCTGGACCTCTGTGGACTCCTCTTGATCTGAATCGGGTGAGCTCACGACTTCGACATCAGGTCGAGGCCCAGCCTTTCGAGATTGACGTTTAGCGGCTTTGAATGCCGCCTCGTGCTCCCTCGGGGTGTGGCTGAGAAGGTGGGGACCCAGGAGTTCGTGGTTTTCAAATGTTTGCGAGCAGAGGGTGCAGTCAAGACTCGTGGATTTGGGCGCAATCCTTTTCTTCTGCTTTTGTGCTTTATTTTTGGACTTGGTTTTTTTACAGTCTGCGGGAGCACACGTGTGGCTCAATACCCCCTCTGCTGTTTCAAATGTCTCCTGGCATTCTTCGCAGGAGAGAGGATGCATGAGGAGAGTCTCTGGGGAAATTGAGGTATCTGCAGCATCATTGGCTAGTTGGGTAGGTGTACGAGGTGAGGAAGTCGAAGAAATATTGCTAGGCAGTTCCAGCTCTGGAATTTCATCCTCCTGTGCTTGTGGCTCTTCTGTCCCAGTGTCCAACTTCTCCGTCTGGTTTTCACCCTCAGCATGGAGTGGATCGATATCAGAGCAAGAGCTCCCTTCACTTGATATTCTCCTCCTGTTTCTCCTCCTCCCACCAAACAGACTCGCAGTGAATATCTCGTCATCTTCATCGTCATTGATATTCTCTTCCTGCTCCTCCTCCTCTTCCTCTTCGTCTTCTTCGTCTTCCTCCTCATCCTCCTCATACTCCTCGTCATCCTCATCCTCCTCATCATCTTCCTCATACTCATAATTACTTCCATCCTTGGACACTGTGGTCTCAGTGTCAGGGGACATAACAAGATAATAAGACGAGTCTTCAGAATCAGCTTGATATTTAAAGGCCCTGATAATATCGAGATGTCTCTCTGACAGATACTTCTTATCTGGAAACGAGTAGTTATTCTCCAAGGACTCTATCACATCCTCCAGCTTGGTCACTAGAACTGTTGGCTCCTTCATAAGACAGAGATCGGTCAAGTCCTCGTCGTTATCAGATTCATTTTCATCGTCCGAGGGATCCCCTTTCATACTCTCTGGATCTGGGCTAGGATCAGCAGGTGGGTCAGCATTCTCAAACTCCTCATCATCAGAATCCTCTCCTTCAGGCCTCAAGGGTGAAATCTCCTCCTCAACTCCAGAATACCCTGGAACTCTATCCGTGGTGTCCTCACAGCTGTCCATTATCAAACTCGCTGCATCCTGGACACTGTCTACATCGATATCACTGTCTTCATCCTCAAACTGATCTTCACCAGCTGTTGGTGTGACTGACAGCCTCGGAAGATTGATCTTGAGTTCTGTGGACTTGATATTCGAATCTTGATCAGTGGACAGCCTCTTGTTGACTGGTTCCTCACCCTCAGATTCAGAGCATTCACTGGGTCGTTTTCTCTTGAACTTCCACAGAGGAAAGGGCTCATTACTCTCGATGGGAAGACCGACATCTCTCGTGTCATCTGTCCTGATGTCTCTAATACTATCAGCGATACTGGATGGTGTTCTCGTTTCAGAGCGATTCTCATCGACATTCGACGAAGACACTGACAGTTTTCTAGATGATTTTCTTGGCTTTCTGTAACTCCCATTCTGCCACCGATTCCTCCGTTTTTTCACTGATTTTTTTTGAGGCCTCCATTTATTTATCTCCGAGCTTTTCAACGGCGTCAGTACAACAGACACACGACGACACCTCACCAAGTTCTCCTCATCCATTGTCGTAATCAACTGTTCATTGTACCCTATTTGTTTCAGGTTAACGTGTTACCACTGCAAAAATGCCCCGATAAATTACACGGACAACAATTCCAACAAAATTATTGAAACATTTTGAATCATCAAACTCACCATGACATCTGACTCTAGAGATAACGAAGCGAATTCTTTAGTATCATGTTTCACGTGTATTCAGAATCATCGAGCACTGTAATGACGCAAATTACAACATTGTTCCAACAATACTTCCATTGTTATGAAGAAAATCGTGGGTTTTACCTGATAATCATCAATTCAAATAGAAATGACAATCGATGACGTTAAATCAGTCGTTGTTGTCGCATTAGCTCGCATTCATGGTCTCAATTTACTCTAATTCTCCTTCAACAACTATTCTACAATCAATACTACCGTGTCCTGACGATATCGGCAATAAATCGCGACCTGATAAACCCAAAAAACACTTTTTCCCTGTTACTCCGTTTTGTTATGAAAAAACTTATTATGAATCACACAGTAATGATTCCAAATGAACAAGATCCATCGCCCTAACCTAAACAAAATTTCCCATAAGATAAAAATGCTCCATATGTCCTAGATTGCCGACAAAAATCCCTAAAAAAAATTCGATCGAGGCGCCATCGCTCCCAGGGGATGACGACGGTGATATGTCCTCCGCACCCCGTCACCTGAGCCACTACTTCAGTCTATCCTCATTGGTGGTGACTTTCGAATCCCCAGAAGTTCGTGTTCTTCAATAGATTGACAAGTGGGGGAGTGAAAAATAAAAATAAAAGCCGTGCATTTGAAAAAAGTGGGGAGTGCAGTGATCCAAGATTTTCAAACTTAAACTGAAGGGGAAATACATGGGTCATAGCGTTCGAGAGCGTGAGATGAAGGATCTCGAGTCGAAATACATCCAGGAAGGCAAGGATGAGCGACTCAACTTGTTGAACAATATGGTCGACGCAAGAGCGTGCTATAAACCCAGCGAGCGAGTAAGAATGCCCTCCTCATTATTTATTATCCATTATTTTTTTGTTATGGAAGGCCTCATGACTATTGTATATCGTGGAGAGAACGTATGCCTGCTGTAGACGTTCCTCCGTTTTGTATCTGGTCTCGGAGCGATTGGAGTCGTCGGCGTCGTCGGCGTCCTTTGACATTTTTCCATTGTTGGACAACAACTTCATTGTTGTGGCCCCATGGGGTTTTAATCGTTTGATCCCCGTCTAACCACTCCGGAAATGTCAAACACAGACTGACAACAATTTCTGGAAATTTCATAGCTCGTTGAATTTATTGACGACTCCTGGGGGCTGATTAAGAATTCTAGATGCGTCCCGGACACTTCCGGGTGAAAATCATCGCCTGGAATTTTTGAGACTCCGGAGAATGATGGGTTTGTCAAGGGGATGATAACTCAATTTACAGTGGACCAGTTTGTTGGATTTCCTGAGTGCTTTGCAGACTGGCTGCCAGGGCAATTAACTTGGAATTAGGTAATAGCCGGTAATTAGGGGGTCAGCCAGCGTGTCCGGGAATAATAATGCGGATTCAACTACGAGGAGCGGGAATCAACGGGAATTGTTGATAGTACTAATTAGAAAACTGAAATTTTTAATTTTTTTATGAGATTGAGGTTTTGAAAATTTTATTTCCCCCAGAGATATTTAGAGATTAAATTAACAATTACCGAATCGACACCTGCAATTCGATCCTGATGAAGCGATTTTGGTATCGAACTAAAAATACCTCCCCCACTTTAATTAACACCCCTCTCACCCTTTAATTAGCTCTCGCTGGGCGGAATGAGGTACACGATGCGTATAATTACCCCGACCCGGAGATGCGAAATTTGTTAAATTCCAAGAGACGAGGGCATTGAGTTTCATTGAAATTTCACTCGCGCGAATATTTATTTCACTTGATTTATACAGGTATATCTGGCGAAAGCCCATTCTCGTATTCGTTTCTCATATTGGGATGACATCGAGACGAATTAGGGGCACGCGGTTTCCCTCACCCAAATCCCAGCATTTTTATCCCACTTTATGATTATTCAGTGGTACAAGTTCGAGATTTCTGGTTTTGCCAAGTGTTTTCACTGCGAGTGAAATCTACGCATCATCGATTGATTGATTTCCCTTTTCTTCTATTGATTTTCTCCATCTGAACTCGAGCAAAACATCTGGTCTATCCGAACGATTGAATTCAATAAATTATAATATTCTACGAAAAGAAATTCATTTTATTTGATATTTCTTCGTATAACTGTCTCAGTCACGTTGAATCGTGGATTATTATCGAATTAGCTAATTAAGTGGTGAGGGATTAATTGATAAGAGCTTGGAGTCGCTGGATAATTTATTCTCTCCTCTGGAATTGAAATTTCAAATTTTCTGAACAAGCTACAATCCCCGCGGAATGTTTACACTTGCTCCGTTATACGCTATACTCACATGCCTGATATGCTGTAAATCGACTAGAGTTGGTAGAAGGGAGTCGTCAACAGGCTTTGAGTTCTCCACCAAATGTATCTCAGTGAGTGTCGAGTGCTCGTCGAGAGTGAGTCTCCAATCCACTCCAATCACCCCAACAATCAGAAATAAATTCGGTGCACCTCCAATTGCCAAAAACCATCAAGACCAATTCTTATGATTTTGTAGTTAGTATTCGGCTTTTCCTATTATTTCAGTAAAGCAACCGGAATTTTTGGGGCCAAGTGAAGATTGGCTGGCGAGAAATTGGCTGTTTTGTTTCAGTTATTGCATGGAGATTGCTTTAATTTATTTGAAAACAAATAGTACATCGTGCACATTGATTGAAAATACCGCACGAATACATGATACCATTTTCACTCGGAAAATATGACCAACGATAAACAGGTGAGTGTCACTCCGCATCCAATTACGTTTTATCATTACTCATTGATTTTTCGTAACATTGATAAAAAATAGTAAAGCTGTGAATTGGGTCGAGGCCTGTCTATTCCCAACTTGATCGATAAAAAAAAAAACTCAAAGTACCTTCATTAACTATCACTTTTTCATCAAATCAGGGGTACAATATCCCTCGCTAATCGATCAATCGACCAGTCGATCCCTCAACCTCGGTCATAAAAAGTAACATTAATTTCTAAGACTTTCAATAGCTCATAAACTAGATCCTCAGTTGAATAAAAAAAATAACAACTAGACAATTAGAAAATAACCATCGCGTGTTCACTGAATTTTCCACTCCCAAGTTATAAACTCTTCAGTTAATAACCGAAAAACCAATTGTTCTCTGATAACGACTCATTGAAAAATTGCAGTTGTGGTTCCGTGGTGTGCGCAGCAGTAAATTTCGTCATGTTTATGGTGTACCAGCGAAGCGTGACAAGTGCTATGACAATATTAAAATAACGAAGAACGCCCATGATTCACAATTTTGCGCTGTTAATCCAAAATTTATCGCCATCGTCACAGAAGTCGCTGGAGGTGGTGCATTTCTGGTTATTCCCCTCGATAATGTGAGTTATATCAATTAAAAATAATTAACTCCCACCAGATTAATCACGAGCAGATGCAGGAGATAGTCTTCCTGGGGAAGACTTATCTCCCGGGGGAAAAGCCATTTGAAACGTACAAAATCATTTTTCACGCTTGAATAACTCGAGTTAAATGACCTTGGTCAAAGAATTTACCTCGCGTGGCAAGACTCCTAGTTAATGACGACAACCAGGGAAAAAGAAAGATGCTCCACAGTTTGTTTGGCACGTATTCCATCCGGCAATGGATTCAAACGCACTTTCACTGGCTATTTCTCGATGTTAATCATCACTCCGCCAATTCTCCTACATCTGCCGAATTTCTTTTTTATCAGTAACTTTCATATTATCAGTTAAACATTATTTGTCTCTATCGCAGACTGGTAGGCTAGATTTCAATGCCAACAGAGTTACGGGACACACTGGCCCCGTTTTGGATATCAAGTGGAATCCATTCAATGATAATGTCATTGCCTCCTGCTCTGACGACTGTACCGTAAGTCTAGCTCATTAAAATAACAGATATTTCTCATCAATTCAAAAAATGCAAATTCAACCGAAAAAAAAAATCACGAACATCAACGCCATTTACATTATTTTAAATTCCGGAGATGTTCCCATGGATTAAATCAATCTGTCACGAATTATTTATAAATGGAAAACAGGTGAAACTGTGGCATATTCCTGACGGAGGTCTCTCGAGAAATCTGACGGAATGGCTTGTGGAGCTCCAGGGGCACAAGCGTCGTGTTGCCTATATCGAATGGCATCCAGTGGCCGAGAATATTCTGTTCAGCGCTGGATTCGACCACTTGATAATCGTTTGGGACATAAACCGAGGAGAAGCCATAAACATTATCGATCGTCACCCTGACGTTATCTACAGCATGTCCTTAAACCGAGATGGTAGCCTTCTGGCGACAACCTGCAAGGATAAAAAGCTCAGGGTCTTTGAGCCTCGCTCTGGTATTGTGGTGTCAGAGGGTATCTGCCATGCGGGTACCAAAGCCAGTAAAGTGGTGTTTCTCGGTGGTACGGGACGACTTTTAACAACTGGTTTTAGTAAACACTCGGACCGACAGTACGCCGTCTGGAGCCAACACGATCTGTCGAATTCCCTGGCTTGCGAGACCATAGACTCATCCAGTGGAATTGTTTTTCCGTTCTGCGATAATGATACCAATGTTGTTTATCTCGCTGGCAAGGGCGATGGCAATATTAGGTACTATGAGTTTGTCAATGAGGCACCCTGGCTCCACTATCTCAGTCAGTTCATCTCGGGAAATCCCCAGAGGGGCCTGGGGATCATGCCCAAGAGGGGGATCAATACTAGCACCTGTGAGGTCTTCAGATTCTACAAGCTGCATGCCACCAGAGGCATGTGTGAGCCCATCTCCATGATAGTTCCCAGGAAGGTAATATATTGCTGAAAGTATTCTATAATCAGTTTAATTTATTCTCGAATGATTACCAACATGTCTTATTTTTTCTTATCAGAGTGATCAATTCCAAGAGGATTTATATCCAGATACCGTAGGTACCACACCCGCATTATCAGCGAAAGACTGGATCAGTGGGATAAATAGTCAGCCCCTGTTAATCTCTTTAAAAACTGGTGAGCCCTACTATCCCATTTTTCTATTTTTATCGTCAATTGATCAATTGATTTTTTTTATCGGGACACAGGGGGAGGGATAACAACGCACAAACCCAGGGTCTATAAACCCCCTCAGTCAATCCCAGCAGCTGACGTAAACACAAAAAAGAAATTTGCATTTCTCTCGACGGAGACAATCCCGGACTATCGACCGATCGATCCCCTGGACATCGAGAAAAGCCAAAAAACATCGAACAACCAGAGCACGAAGATCCACCAGCTGCAGCAGAGATTCGGACACGTGACCATCCAGGTGAGACATTAATTTCAATCCACTCAGTGTTTGTGTTTTTTTTTTTCACTTCCGTTAATTATCGAGAGAATTGAGTCGTCAGTGAACTGTAACTGTAACTCGCTTTTGTGTTGCTTAATTCTACGGCGAGTAGAATTTCACGAATTCTTGAATTTATTCTATGAAAGTGAAATGGAAGGGAAAGCGAGAGCTTTCGATCACTTATTTTAAAATGATATGTATTACTGTATTGTTTTATTGAGTTTTATCTAACACACTAACACTTTGCATGGTCCATCAAGCCAACAAGATGTAGCACCCAATTCTATGAGCTCGTTAGCAAGTTCGGGGCGTATTCCAATGTTTACAAGGTAGGTTGGCTATTTATTCCCGGAATTATCTAGACTAATATAGTTTAGGTACCATTGATCATCGATATCATATACCAGTATCCAGACTGGCTCATTTTAGTTCTATTTGTCTTAATCCTTAATTTATCCAATCGTTCATGTGCTTCACTAACACAAAGAATTAACTCTTGGAATGACTGGGAATGTTCACGATGTCTGCATTAATTCGATAAATTGATGGGATTTTTCTTCCTGTTCAGAACAATGCGCCCCTCAATGACAACAAGATTATGGAGTCTGTGGAGACACCGAACAACGAAGCGGAATTGCGACTGGCTTATGCCAGACAGACTGACGAGTTGCGTCTCGTCAGACGACAGCTCGCTAACAGCCAGGTGAGGGTCAAGGAACTCGAGGAGCAACTGAGAAAACTCCAGAATCATTGAGATTATTTTTTAACTGGACAATTAATCTCTAATTTCGATTGATGGGAGAGAAAATAATTCTGACTCGTGATTGAGAATGAAACAATGCTATTGGTATGCTTTATGCTGAATTCTATGAACGATTCGATGGTGAGTGATCGCTTTGCATTTGTCGTCTACGATAATTATTGTATTGAAACAAGAAATGGACCTAAATCATTGTTTAGTCAATTGTTTTGTTCGCAGCTATTTATACGACAGAATTATTTTGTTTATTGATAAGTTAAGTTGATTCTGTGATTGACTCTTGTAATATTTTTTCAATTTTTATCCATTCCCCTCTGTTATTTCTCACATCAATTTTCGAATTTATCATCTTGGAGCATATCAATGATCAATTATTGTTATTTTTTTTCTTCTGTCGATGTTTACGAGTATTTTGTGGCTTAGAATTAAATGTCTGTGGAGTATTTAGAGTTAGAAAATCAATTTATGATGATAATTCAAATCAATTTGTACTGATTTGTATAATACAATGTTTATATGTATTTTTAATACCTCGATGTTGTGGATTTAGCTAATTTCTTTCATTTATCCCTCATTCAACTCACAAAATTCATGATTCATCTTAGTGGAGAAAAAAATTTGTTGATTATTAACAAATCCATTATTTTCAACAGATTTTTTATCTCTGTGCATTAAAATCGGTTGTCTCTCACTGTATTAACTCCCAAATGAGAATATAAATTTTAGCCGTGCCTTCAAATCAAAGATAAGAAAATAACTGCCTTTTACTTTACAAAATTTCTACTTAATAATATTTAGGCAGCTTAGAGTTGCATGAGTTGATGGAATCGCACAATTAGCAGAGAAGAATTTCTCAAAAATGGAATATGTGACAGCCGAAATAATCCATAAATTGATGTTGCCTTAAGCCTACGAAATAAAGCAAAAATGCCAAAGAGAGAGTCGATGGGATTCAATAACAATATATTCAGAATAAATATTGAACACATGATGAGGGAGAAAAAGAATATTTTACATTCTACAGACGACAAACTTTCATTTCATTAAAAAAACAAATAATCACGCTACAACAGTTAATATTCATGCGTACAAAATGATATGAAACCGTAGAAATCGAAGAATCATTGTATAATTTGTAGCTTATTTTTAAAAAATAAAGAAGCCGTATTAGAATCGAAGAAGGCACATTTTTCATTAATTCCAAGTCTCTGAAAGATTTAAGCCTAGTAATGAGTGTCTAATACCCTCAAATTAACTTGTAAATCTCGTAAAAATTCTCAAGTACTAAATAAAAAATAGAAACTGTCTTCAATATCTTTTTTTTGGACGGAGTACTGCTAACAGCATATCTCAACTATCCTGGCGAGGATTGTGGACGGATTTAAAAATATTCTAGTACCATTAGTCCCCCCGAGCTCATCTTCTAAAAAAATAAATGATTGTGGATATCGAAACGAAGAAAATGACTCCTACGCTGGTAGATGCCCTAGTGGCCGGATTGCATCCATCAGATGAACAGGTGTACACGCAGGTTCTGTACTCCAGAGTGTCCCCAACCTGTTTCACGTATTCACAGAAGTTTCCCATGTGGACTGATGAGCAGTATCGTTTCGTTCCAATTCCCCCTGATGGAGACAATTTTTTTAAAGAAGTGACAGTGAACAATGGATGCAAACGATAAAAAAATTACTGATGTGATAAAAAGCGTTTGAGTATTGAGCCGACAGAAAGAAAAAAATGTGAGATTAAATTGAAATGGTGCAGAGAATAATCCCAATGTTAGTTTTATGCTACTCATGAACCTCCGTAACGCCCAGTAGTTTTAATGCAATACTGAGCATCAAAAACATGATCACAGCTCTCAGGTTGTTGTGCCTCTTCTGTGAGAAAGCTTTCTCCACAAGTCCATTCGGTTGCAGACGTGCATTGATAGCATCTGAGGGCCAGTGCTCCATTGATCAAATCAACGAGAAATTACTACTGTTAGAGTTATTCCACAAGCTATTAGAATATTCGTTATTGAATTTGAAAGGGTTAATGGGTTAATCAAGGTGTTTGATTAAATAGATTAGTTAGTCACGAGCCCCTAAAGATTTAATTCAGTCAATTACCCTCGTAACGTCCAACATGTTTTACACAATACTGAGCCCCGAAGACATCATCGCAGGGCTCTGGTACCATGTCGATGTCATTCGTCAAAAATTCATTACACTGAAACTGGTGTTTACCGCTCGTATTGTTACATCGGTAACAATCAATGCCTCTCGCTGGGATCAATCGAAATAAAACAAAAAAATTATTCAACAGCTGTGACTCATAAATTAAAGAATCAGTCGAGAATGCGTCACGAAGAGCAGTACTCAGTCATCAAATAAAACACAGTATTTACTAATTACTGAAATAATTCTCCAGCTGTGATTATATAACGAAAAAATTCAAATCAGTCAATTTTTCGAGGAGGAAAAACGTGTAACATCTGTTCATGGGAATTCACCTGTTGCTCATGACGAGATCTTCACATTTGAAATAAATGAACTTTAAAATAAATGGGTTTTCTAATTAATTGGAGCTGGGACCGCACCCTAATGGGCTCAAGTGTTTTTTAAATTCTCACCTGGTGTTGCAATCGCAGCGAACAAACACAGCAACAAACAATATTCCCTCACGCTAATGGTTCTCATTTTTTGTTACACTGATATGATGAGCATTCGATAATGTTGTTAAACAATTATGGAGTAACGTGGCGGCGTGTAAACACTAACAGGTAATTGAGGAATGGAAAAGTAGCGTCAAAGCTCGAAGACTGACGAAGTCACAATGCGTCATAGCATGGCATCGCCCTGGAGAAAAAAGTGGGAGTAACAACAAACTATAGCACCTGCCCATCCATCGCCTACTCGTCCTCCAGTAAAAAATAAAAAGCATGGACTAAAAAGTGTCATGGGCAGTAAAAAATTAAAAACTCATATTTTTTCCTTTTGGTTTAATGGAGGGATTGGTACAGCAGTTCTTACAATTTTCATTACTCATGAAAAATTAACTTTCCAAAATTACGAGATAATTTAATATGTCAGTTGTTCATGGAAAGTATCAATTCCTGTGCATTGGCTTTGTATTTATTTATTATTATTTTTTATTGTTAAAAAAGGTGATCGAAATTCATCGAAGAATTTCTCTAATCTAGATTCACTAGAACATTTACTCCCTTTCAATCCGTAATCAGAAGAAAGTGAAAAACAGAGAATTTTCCATTTTTCTAGATTCTTCTCATAAATTAAATTTATGAATTTAATTAGCAAATAGACTATGTGAAGAGGATTGCAATCAAACATAACAATGAATCACTAAATGGGCGTTGGAGAATGAAGGTATCACAGTATACTCACTTAGAAAATTTTTCACTCGATAAATTTCCCTAGAGGACTACTAGAAAATTCGAAAATGAGATTTCCCTCCTGGATAAATATCGAAATCTCTCCGGAGTCACTCAAAAAAAAAAAATTGCGAGCAAGCCGCAAGCTTAAAAAAGATTTAGTTCTTCGCACTGGCCTTGGAAGAGCTTCTCTGTGTGGCTTTCACCCCCTTCCGGACTCTCTCAACGAAATTTCCCTTGGACATGTTCTTGTCCTCATCCCCCACTGACTTTGAAGACTCCCCAACCTCGGGCCGGGTCTTGACGATCCTCTGGACGATCTTGAGTCTCTTGGTTCCCTGCTTGACGACCCCAGTCTGCTCGACAATCTGACTCGTCTTTTTCCCCACGATTTTATGAATCACCTTGAGACTCTTTATGCCCCGTCGTGAAGATCTGATTTTAGAAACCACCTGGCCATTTTCAGAATTACTCAAACGTTGATTCTTCAGAGACTTACGATTTGTGGAAAGCTGACGTGAACTCCTCTTGCCACTCTTTATTCGTTTCACTGCTGTGTACAGAGATGCTGTACGTCTCACTACCCTAGACTTCGATGTGCAACTTGTTTCGCTCTTCTGACTGGTATTTGGATCGTTTGGAGTGTTCATGGAGGCAACAATGTCATCTAGACAGGGTGACTCCTTCACTGGTCCAATATTATCGTGGGATGCCAGTGGCTATGCATAAAGACATTTAATATTGAAAATTACACCGATTTAATATTTTTGGATTCAATTGAAAAACAATTCCACAGAGCTGGAGAAATCCTTCAACCCATCATCAATGAAATATTTAAATTAAATAGTCCCCAGCTCTGCATCGAGTGCAATCATAACGAAAATAAAATAAAAATAATTTCTCTATACTTATCTCCACATCCATAAACTACTGAGTAATCCAACTATCGAATCTAAACCCATTCAAAGCCTTTTGACACTCAATAATAATCATTAGTCAACTTACCACATGTTCAAGGGATTGTTATTATAAAAGCCTTAAAATAGTGCTCAGTGGGGTATGGACTACTTAAGCAGGAGCGAAAATAAAATAAAATAAATATAAGCAAAGAAATTTTCCTCCTTGTGCTAAAAGACTTTGAATTTTATTAACACATGTTATAATCTTCAGTTTTTTTAAATAAAATTACGTACATCAGAACATTGTACATAAATTATTACTCCGAATACAATCGATATAGCTCCGGGGGAAGTCAAGTGGATGATTATTTATTTCTTAATGTTTAGGTAATGAGAATGGAACACTCGGGGTTAATCACACAAATGTACAAAAAGAGCCTCTTCATGCTTTATCACCTTGGAATTCGAAATATAATCATCTAGAATTTGAAATCCACTCGTATAATCATGAATAATTCAACAAATTCATCACAACCACAATTGATAATGGATATCCGTGAAATTCAACAGCTCCCCCATTCGTTCCTCTATTCTTCTCTCTAAATGCGAACCCTCTAATACTAAAATTAAATATAAAAAATAAGCGTAGTGCATTGACTGTTCAATTCCATTAGACTTCAAGTTGTTTTTTACAGAAAAAACCAAAAATAAGACTCATTGATTTTAAAAAATGGAAAATCAGAAATTTATCGTACAAATTGCGATGGGAAATTTATTCAAGACAGATTACACTGTCTTATTTCGATATTATCAAGGTCAATAAGATTTTCAGTGCTGTCATTTACCTTCAGTCGTGGTCTGTGAATGGTGCCAGCAAGGGAGTTGATGTATGTAAGTTTCAAGTATGATTTGACACCCCTGAGGGAACGATACTGACTATTGGGTAAACGACTGTTCGGATTGCTGTTTGTCAGGTCGAGAATGGAAGGACCAAGTGCAGAACCCACCTGAAAAATTTACCCCATTATTCAAACAAATTCGCAATAATACATTCACCAGTGAAAGATCATCAATCCAATTAGTACCTCTTCAAAGACTGTTGGTGTATATTTTGGAGGGACGAACATGTGTCCCTGGAGCTTGCCAGTTCCATCCCTAACCCTCGCTGGAACCGTGTTCACCAGTCTTCCAGAATTGTAATTGCACTCCAGTGTGTAACTACGAATTAATCCTGTTAATTTGTAAACAGCCACTCGTCCTGAGCCTTCTCTAGACATTCCATCCCTCTTATCTCTAAAAAAAAATTGCCAGCAATTATTCCTTCACCCTTAATTATAAAAATAAATCACTGAGCGAAGAGAGGACTCACATGAGATACATGTTTCGCTCGGCAAAATTGCAGGAAGTGAAATGAAAATTAGGATTATTTATGGACATCAATTTGGGCAGGAGCATACACATTATCGTGTCATCAGCATCATCAAAATAGTTTCCATACATGAAGACTCCTTTTTTCGAGGCGTGTCCATGAAGATCAATGTACAGGAAGATTCCAGAGTCCTCTGAGCCCCTTGGCACTGGTTTATCTCCCTCAGGAATATTTTTAGTACTAGATTTTATTATTTCGTCGTTTCCAGAGCCTCCACTGGTAGGCTCGGTCTCCAGGATTTTTTCCTTGTCGTCTAGAGTCATGAGAGTGACGTCTTCAGTTCTTTCCACGATCTGTTGATCCTGTCCTCCCTCATCAGTCTCCTCTGCATTTACGACCTCATAAAAATTATGATAATAACTGATGAGGCTCTTGGCAGCGAAAATTGTGGGATGATCGATAGCCGAGGGATTCAGATAAACTCGATTCAGATTGACACCACGAGTGTCCACTCTGTAGTGGCCCCTAGCAACTCCATCCGGATTCAGCATGGGCACTAGCTTGAAGACATAAATACGTCGCAGGATCATGGCAATGGGATCGTCTCGATTCAATAAAAAATTTAGAAAACCATTGAACACGAAGCTGGACGGTGTCTCACCAGGATGCACTCTGGCACTGACAAATATAATTCTTTTCCCTCGAAATTTTCTCGCTCTCTCCTCAGCTTCATCAGGGAACATTCCCTTGAGCCTCTCCTCCCTCTCAGGCGTTATATTATGGTATGAGCTGATTGTCAGGACGTCCAGGCGACGACCCTCCAGGGATTTTATTGCACACTCTCGGTGGTAATAAATAGCATCTGTATTCCCGTAGTTCTGCTTTTGCATCCTGGCGTCAATCCTGTTTAAATACTGTTGAAGGTCTGTGTAGGTGAAGGGATAGGTGAAGGCGACATATGTTATGGCTTTGGGATTCTCTGATGTGCGAATTGTAAAGGATATTGTGAATTCACTGCCTTTCTGGTCCATCTGAAATCGAGGAGATCATGAGTAATAGATTTCTGCCAGAGAAATGAAAATGGAAAAAATATTTTCCTCTTGACTCACTGTGTAAGTCGGTTTATCTCGAATTCTTTCCCACTGGGGGTGTCCAGGGATGACCTTGAATACAGGACACATTCCCTGACTGAACATCTTCGACTGTCTGTTGAGATTGACAACATTGAGCTTGACAGACACCCCCTGGGCTGATGATTTAATCCCGAAGTAAAACCACGTCCTGTTGTTATTCTGGAATTCAGTGCCATGGCAGTCGTGCTTTGTCCAGACGTTGAACTCGTAATCTGGAAGTGTCTCAGAGGTTTTGCAGGGCTTCCTCTCAGTCTCACAACCATCTGGAAATTATTGAATTCACAGAGGTGCATTTTTACCTCAGCGATTTAATTTTGTATTGAGAAAAAATGGATATACCCTGATTGGAGGTGTTGGCAGCGATCACAGGCTCAACCCTTGCCAAATTGGCAGAGTCAAAATTGTTATAAAACACAAAGTTGCCACATGTGATACTTTGAACCGTTGTTGCCATGATAAAGTCCTCACGAAACAGATATCTATGGAATTTAATGCAATAATCACTTTTTTATCGAATTCTCAGTGCACCCCAGGAGATTCCAGGGTGAATCATCTGTTTTTATTTACAGCACATTCTGACCCCATTTTTCTGGTCGTTGTAGTGGAAAACAAGTCAATGAAATTCTCACCCCAAAGTCCATGGCTGTCTTGTCTCGTCTGGGTTTTCTTCCGCGAATTCAAAACGTTTTCAAAACGTTCAACTGGCTGTCGGTCCTCGACCGGAGATTCATCTTTCCATGATTGCACTTTTGACACTTGACACTTGCATCTAAAGAGGATTGACTAATGTAGAGGGGGTTGTGGGGGTTTAAATGACCCCAGCGACATCGTAGTACTGCACCCCAAGAAAGGGAGGGCGCCACACGCAATGCTGGGGTGTTTTTTTTT